ATATTTCCCCTTAAGAATTTACATTTTTTTTCATACTAATTACTAAGTAAAAACTGAAACGTTGGTTGTGTTTAATAGTTATACATAAAACCGTGCTGTCGCGTATATAAGAAATCATTAGTTATACTATTGTTAAACACGTCCAACATTAGAGTATATCTAAAATCCAATTTAACTAAACTAAATATACATATTACTATTATTATAAAATTATATTAGAGGTACTTAAATATTATCTACTTTTAATAATATTGGAGTGAATAATCGTATAATATAGGTGTAAGAATATCCACACGCCATATTGTCCCGATAGTGTCGCTGGAAGCGACAGAGGGAGTATAAACAGGAGATGGGCAGTAGCATCTTCCTGATAACAACTTTTTTTTATAGAATAAGGGTGACAAAGAGCACACAGTCCACCTGATGTTAAATGGATATTTATCGTGATTAAGAATCAAAACGCATATGCGTTGTCACCCCTGAGAACTAAAATGGAATGCCTCGTTTCCGGTAAAAAAGGGTCTCCGGATCTCTACACTCACCATACGAAACACAGCAGTATTAAGCTGCTATTTTACGCCGGTATTCTGTGAGAGCGTAGTCCTTCCCCGGTCGAGCAGACCCATTTGTGCTACAACCGTAATATAGCTGCAGCGTGGTTCTAACACGTATAAAAAAAAACTCAAAATAATTAAAAAAACTGCGGTTGGAAAATCGCGTGCCACGCGTGGCAACTATGGCAAAATGCTCTCATGAGGCAATCCATGAGGGGGCCTATGTTCAGCAGCCGACTTTTATAGGCTATAATGGATGGACGGAATGGAATAACAAGCTGCCAGTTCTCCCTATGGTAACTGACAACTGTAGTCTCCAGCTCAAGGACAGCTGCAGGAATATTCAAACTATACGAACCAGATTACAATAGTCGGTGTACTATTGCTTGGCGGCAGTATAAGAGAATTTTTTTTTCAAAAAAGGATCTCTACCGTCCTATCTTTTTTTCTTTTTTTATAGAATAAGGGTGACAAACGAGCACACAGTCCACCTGATGGTGAAAAGATAATATGGCCCATAGACATTTATGTTCGATTAAAAATCAAACTGCAGATGCGTTGTCACTCCTGAGGACTAAGATGGAATCGCTACCAGTAAAAAGGTTATTTATACTCACAACACGAAACACAGCAGTACTAAGCTGCTATTTTACGCTGGTTTTCGCGAGTGCGCGGTCCTACCCCGGTCGAGCCGACCCATTCGTGCTGCAATGTGATTGCAGTGGATGTAACTGCGGCATGGTTCCACCACGTAAATAAATCTTTATTGTATAGTGGTGATGATTATGTAGTTTTCTGTAGAGCTACTCGAACAAAGGTATATCCGCACGCAGCCAAGATTCTAGAAACGATTCCTCAACTGGTGATCACCTTTAACGATAAGAATAGTAGTTATTGTTTCATTTAAAGGTAAAATATAGCCCCACTCAGTACTCATGGCACTATTTCGTACTAAGTAGGGTTATACTTATTTGATAATTTTGGCTTTTAGCTTCTTGATATAGGTATAGGCACAGAAATCTAAATAATAGTACCTTATTATTTAGATTTCTGTGGTATAGGGTATAACAAAGGGGGTGGATCATTATAAAATGGAGATAGTGGACCACAAAAACCACTTGATTATTCCCCCTCCCCTCCCCCGCTCTTCAATATTCATCAGTTTTAAATTTATTTGAATCTTTAATGAGTTTGGTCAAAATTTATAAATTTGTTATAAATTTTAGGATAAATCCTAAAATTTATAACTACAGATAAGGGTTACGCATTTTTTTTTCTGACAGTAGTCAATATTGGATCTAACATACAACAAAATTTTTGATATTAAGAGGATAGAGTAAGTCAGCTCAAATTCTAATTTCGCCCCCACTTCCCCGCGCGTCGTATGCTATGTACCGACATGTTTGTAATCACTAATACTGTAAGTAGATAGGTCGTTAGATACTTATTTCATTAGGTTTATCATATATATGCCTGTTTCTTAACGCCAACCCAGTCGCTTCTTATTTTTATAACGGTTATTTCCCATTTTAATTTTACATCTTACTGTTGCGTAATGTGTTTTCTGATCGTAAGCGACACAACTTCTCCCTTCAAAAGCCGGAGCGATACTAACGGAGCGACAGGAATCAAGCTTACGCGTCGATAGTTTAGGTAATTTCTTTTTACAGTGAAAATAATGGTATTTAAAAAAAAGTAAATAACATAAGCACTGCTTTATAGTTAGTTCAGTGTGTATGCAAAGTTTCATGATCTTATTTAAAGTATTTTATGAATAGCAGCGGTTTATTGTTCAGTTTGGAGGTAACTTTGGATTTTTTTTCTATCGATAAAATTTTACGGAATCGTGTTTTCGTCTAACATAAACCTTAACATTAATCCTCAACTTTACCATATATTTATTTCAAAATTAATGCTGCAATACTTTCGGCATAACGGAGGATCTTGCTAAGCCATTTGAGGTTATATTTCCCCTTAAGTAAATACTTAATATGTTAACAAAAGTAGTAATCTCTAATAAAAATTCTAAGCAATGTAAGTAATGTCATAGTCATTGAAAAATCACGTAAGGTTTTTTTCTACAGCTTATCTTAGAAACAATAACATTTACAATTATCTTTATAAAAATCTTTGATGAATATTACTAGCCTGATTGCTAAATGTATTGTCTTTTGTTTTATATAAACAGAAACATATTACATTAAGAGGTTTGGAATAATTGAGATTTCGATGTAGATAGACAGTATTATAGTATATATATTGGCAGTTTTTAGTTATCATAATACAAACTTTTACGTAGGTACTTCATATTGTTTATTACTATTGATGAAAAAGTAAAACAAAAATAAACCGTTTAATCTGTTGAAGCCTATAAGATATATTATATTTAGAATTTCTTTAGAATTTCATTACTTTTTAATGCTGTCGTGAATCACTGCGGTAATACAAGCTCTACCAAGATTATCGGAATTTGAAATGAAAGTTAAAACTTAAAGTTACAGCTTATATACGTCCCACTTCTGGGCACAGGCCTCTTCTCATTTGTGAGAGGGTTTTAGGGCAAGGAAATGTCCACCGTTCTACCCCAATGCGTGTTGGGGAACTTCATTTTATTTGTAATTAATTATTGACTAATTAAAAACAATTTAAATTTCTAACCACATAATCTAATTAAGTTTTTCGTCCATTAACCGAATTATCATAGAAACCAATAAAATTACGAAATACGAGTATTAAAAGGAATTATAAAAGTACACGATATTTATGGTAACTGTCAACAGAGCTTACTGCGAATACTTAATACAACTACTACAATACAATACAAGTATTGAAGCGATTTCAAAATATAAACGACATATTAGTATTAGTTCCATTAATGTTTTGAAAATTATATTTAAAGATAAGTTTTAATTACAAATTATTGTATATATTTTGTATGTATTGCCGTATAATAACGGTGAAGTGTGGGCGTAAGAGAATTCACTACCCCATATCATCCCCCGGGAGTCGAGAGTGGCAACAGAGGGAGTTTGAAACAGGGGATGGTCAGTAACGTTTTCCTAATATCATCTCAAAATAATAAAAGTTGCAATTGCCAATCTGTCGACCAAACGTGGAAATTAGGACAAATATTTCCTCTATGACGGTCAGTATTGATGGGTTGTAACGAAAAATGAAAAATTGCCGTACTAATAGACCACAAAATGTTATCAGCCTCAAACAAAGACGCAAAGTAAAGCCTTTAGGTTTTCCACAGGATGCATTTTGGAGAGAGTGCACAGGAATTGCATAATTTAATTCCTCCCTTTCCCTTCCACAATCGGACAACCAGACGTTCGACCAGTCTCCACCCTTTCGTTATTGACTTACCATGCGTTCGAGCCAAACGGTTTTCTTGTCTTGGAGTGGAATAAGTTGCCAGTGTTTTCATCTGTTTTTCCATTCGATTACAATTTAAGAGTGAGAAGGATTTTGTTAAATAAGTGCACTTTACCATCTATAACATCTCTGGCTACATCACCACTTACCATCAGATGGAATTATGTAATGTGCCGGATGTTATTGACCAGGTCGACGATGATATGATAAAGGTGCGAGACATCTAGTATTGCAATCGTCAATACGCCTGTAAAGTGAGTCTGCAATGCACGTTAAGACCTAATTAAGATGATGAAAAAAAGAAAGCTGTATAATCTTTTTCAGATAAAATTTCAGACAAGGCGGCCAGCGGAGCCCATCTGCACAGGACTGAATTATAGTGTACGAGTATGTACGCAAGCACAGGGTGCACACTCTATTCCTTCACTCTCGTAGTCCGCTGGGTCGGCAATCTAATCATCGAGGCAGTCATTAACATAAACAACGAGCAGTAGTAACCATAGAGTAATTTAATTCTATAAAAAAAGAAAAAAATACGGATAGTATGACTACGTCACTACGTACGTAATTAAATAACTTCTACAATATGTAAATTGCCTCGTAAAGGTAAACAATGTGAAGGCTATCCCCCCACTTATTAGATAAGATGGAATAACAACTTGGTAAGAAATGCAGGAAGTCGATGGATGCAGGTGTTTTGGGACCGTGCTCTTTAGCATTCCTTGGGGAAGGCCTATCTTCAGCAATGGTAGTAAAGATGATGATGATGATAATAGTTAACCCTTTACCGCATACCGTGACAAATATGGAACACTCAACTTTTGTTGTAATATATTACTGCCTGCGGCGTCTATAATATTTTCTCGGAACTAATTCGTACTAGAGAGTGTAACTCACCTAAATATGTAACAGTGGCGCCTCTTTAGAGACGCCTAGGAACTAAAATCGACTGTTTCGTCAGTCGGTTGCCAAAATTTGACAGGTCGACAGTTAGCAGATTTTCAATACGATTTTTTATTGTTTTTTTCTTAATATCTGAGGATTAATTGTGATTTACCGGATAGAACAATGGACCCACAGGCTTTTTACGGCAAAAGAAGTAAGTTTAAATCATAATATGTATTGAATATTATCATTTTAAAATTGTTCCCAATTTGGAACACCATGCAATTGTTACGTTTTTTGTAGTGCCAAATATGGAACATTATGCACTCCAGTCAATATTTTAACAGTTCCAAATTTGGAACATTATGCAGTGTTAGACCAAGATATATATATCTATAGTTTTAGGTCAATTTTTTAACAAATTTTTGTATTGAATATGAAACCGTCAATAACTTACAAGTTCAGAATTCGGAACATTATGCTGCATAAGATCTTTTTATACTTGCAGTTTAATACTATACCCTGCAGCTAATGTAATTTTTAAGTAGGACAAGTAAAAGTAGCGCAGTTTTAGATGTCCCGCCCTGAATATGTATTATATATAGTTATGTTTATACGTGATTATCTTTAAATTTGCTTAATTACTTTAATTGTAGATAAAATAGAGATGCGTCCTCGACGAACAATCGTCGTAATTCCAGAGAGCAGCGAGGATGAAAATGTATCAGATGATGAGACTTACAGTACTCAAGATCCTTTACATATAAATGAAGAAAAAGAAAAGTCTTCCTCGGACGGAGAAGATGAAGAAGGAAAAGAGGAACTGGACCAGCTATTTCCTGAGTGCACTGAAGAGCATATGGAAACGTTAGAAAATTTTACAGACAATCAACCTTCTACTTCACAGGCAGCTTCTTCAAGTAAGAAAGAAAAGAAAGATAAGTTGGTGTGGTCGGATGACAATCTTCAGTACGATGAATCCAATATTGCTTTTTTGGGATCTGAAAATCTTCCAGATGAAATAATGCAGCTAAATACTCCAATGGAGTTTTTCAAATTTCTTTTTCCGTCATCTGCTGTAAATTTAATTGAGGAAGAAAGCAACGTATACGCAGCACAAATTTTCCCCGAAAACTTGAATTCAGTGACACATAAAGACATTTATAAATTTATTGGTATTATTATCTACATGTCGGTAGTACACCTGCCAACTACTCGTCATTACTGGAAGGAGGGTACATATGTTGAAAAAGTTGCAAATGTTATGACGTGCAATAAATTCGAAGAGATTAAAAGATTTCTGCATTTTTTCGACAAAACAAAAGAACTAAAACCATATGACCCGCAGTTTGATAGACTTCAGAAAATACACCCACTTATGAAAATCCTACGCGAAAGACTGCTAAAAGTGCCGAAAGAGGAATTTTTGTCTATTGACGAACAGATGATCCCTACTAAGGCCCGAACTTCAGGAATCAGACAGTACAATGCAAAGAAACCCCATAAGTGGGGTTATTTGAATTACGTATTAAGCGGAGTCAGTGGATTTAGTTACGACTTTGAATTATTCGGAGGAAAATACCCAGCACCGCCTGAAAACTGTCCCGATCTTGGAGTGCCAGGAAATGTGGTTCAAAGACTATTGAAGACTGTCTCGGACAATTTGAACCATAAGATTTTTGTCGATAACTGGTACACAAGTTTGCAGCTAATGGCAAACTTACACAAAAAAGGTATTCTGCCATTAGGCACAGTACAACTGAGAAGAGCTCCAAATATAAATATAAATAAAAAAGCTTTAGAAAAGAAAGAACGAGGTTATTACTCCGAAAAAAGGGTTGCTGTTGATAACGTTAAGCTATCAGTTACCAGTTGGGTCGACAATAAAGCAGTCAGTTTGTGTTCATCCTATGTAGGCAAGGAACCAATGGGAGTTGTGAAAAGATATTCCAAAAAACATAAGCGTAGAGTTGATGTTTCTTGCCCAAAAGCAGTATCAATTTATAATAAATACATGGGCGGTGTCGATTTACTAGATGCCATGTTAGGCTTCTATAGGATCAAAATCCGCAGTAAAAAATGATACCACCGCCTGTTCTTCCATTTCATTGGTCTCTGTTGCGTGAATAGTTGGCTATTATGGCGGAGAGTCATGAAACAAAAGGGTGAAGATATTTACATTCCATTGCTTGACTTTAAATTAACCATAGCAGATGTATTGATGCACAAAGACTCAAAGGTATATACTCCGACTACACGCAAACGAGGACGACCACTGAATCAAGATGTTGAGGCAATTAAAAAGGGGCAATCAAGGCGACGCATAGAACTGCCTCCAATGGAAGTAGCTGGAGACGGGTTCAACCACTGGCCGAATTGGAAAACTGATCGCCAAAGGTGTAAAATGGTAGGATGCACGCAGAAATCCCAAGTGATGTGCGAAAAGTGTGGGTGTTATCTTTGTTTTAACAAAGATCGCAACTGTTTTAAAATCTTTCACACATAATTTTTTTTAAATTAAATACTTATTCATAGCTTCACTTTGTTTCTTTTATTTTTATAAAATTCTATTTCAATTATACATAATTAGACCACACCGCATGTTGTACCAAATATGGAACGTCTATGTTATAGAACTAGAACGCACGGTGTTCCATATTTGGAACAATTACTTTTACCTATTTATCTTTTTTTAATGGTGTTATATATTTATTTAAATATTTTTTTGGGGTGCTATATATACCCTATAGTGACATATATTTTTTCCAAAGGATTTAAAAAATTCATGCGGTAAAGGGTTAATACTTCAACTATTTGAAAAGTCTTTTATTAAAGTGGATGGTGATCAGATGATTATATTAAAACAATTGATAGCTGCTTCTAATTTCCTTTTCGACCAGCACGGACTTCATTTACTTAAAATGATGATCTAAGCAGCATATGCTCATATTGTTTATATGTAAAGATTCCAGCCAATTACAGAAATATCTAGATCTGAAAATCAGACTCACAGCTGAATAAAATCCAGATGTTATATTTTATTTAGTTCTGAGTCTAGGATTCAGTAGAAGCATGAGTTTATAACTAGATTGCCAAAAGTTTTTTCGTACTTTACGTAAAAACCAAAGCAAATAATAGTCTAAATTTATTCGTAATCCATTTGTAATTATATAATAATGTTCTGAGTAAGTATAAAGATCATCTCAACAGAGGTGAAGTGATACAAAACAGCTGCCCGACCGGCCACCTCCGTTTAACAGCTTGAGACGGCGTAATGGCTTAATAAGTAGACAAATCACGTTTCCGTCGAGGCAAAACCCGTTCTGTGCGTTAACAATCGACGTCGCCGCATTATGACAGGGCTTGTGAGCTAGCGGTCCGCTTCGCGTAAATTATACAGTCTTATAATACGACGCGACGCGGTGCGCAGTTTTGAATCTTAATATTAATGTTTCTCGTATTGCAAGTGTGTCCATTATAATAAAATGCAAAATTATTAGTAGTAGCTAACAACTTGCTAGTAAAATGTGTGTTGTATTATATTAATATTTGTTATATTTGTATTATTTATTACAATCTTTAAAGATAGGGTTATGTACTATTTACGAACTAGAAATGTAGGCGTTAAGTTTTTTCTTACCGTGTGGTCTACCGGAAATTGTTTTAATACGTAACGGAATATGTATTGGCTTTGAACGAACTAACTCTTTAAAAGTATCTTGACGTGAACAGATTATGTGGGACTTGCACCGACTAAAAGCCATTGTGTTTTCTACTTTTACTAATCCACTCTATTCTACCAATTCCATAGGCCCTTTGGTGGCCATCTTCCCTCTTCTATTCCTTCTCTCAAGCTGCGCCGGAACATAAAACGCACTTTTTTACAATGTTATGACATTCCTATAGTATAATATAAGTAATTATAGTAAGTACACCTAACAACTTTTGGTCAAACTATACTTTCATTTTACATACTTATTTTTATCTGCAATAATATCGAATACAGTTGTTAAACATAAATAAATAAATAAATTTCTGTAGCGACTTAGTACAAGAGCCCTGCATTATGACGACATGTACTCGATTTCTATTCTGAAGATCTACGTAATAGAATCGCCCTCTATTATAATTGCTCTCCATTCTATTACAGTATTTGAATCGTAATGTTTTATGTACATTGACGTTTTTTTAATTTGAAACACAGTAGCTCTGTTAGTACAAAATTTTCGATGCTTGTAACCATTAATATGGGACAGATACTAGACAGAACTCGAGTGCGAATAACAACAAAACATTGTTTTGATTGAAATTATTTTCTTTAGCGACGTGTTGTAATTGCCAGAGTGTGATTTTTTTAATAGTCCGACAGTGGATGTTGTACTTAGCAGTGAATGAACTGAAAATAATCCGTTGTAAAATCTATATTGTAGATAAAATGTTGGAATTTAGACAGACACATCTCACATGTTTCACGGTATTTACAGCATTTATCATCATCATTGAAGTCCACTGCTGAACATCTAGTTCCCCAATTAAGAGTGTAATTAACATAGCTATTGCGTTTTGTTATGTCCTGCCAAACATAGATAGAGACAGAGAGATAGAGTTCTACATCTTGTATCTTCTAAATTATTTAAGGGTAATGCACAATACGTGAACAATAATGGAAAGATTCAAAATATAATTATTTACACCGAGACGATCTGGAAATTCCATATTCACTTTACTAGGCTCTATATTGCAGCCGTGACCTTTTAATTAATTAAAAATACTTAATGATAATTGAGTATTTGAAAGAAAAATTGAAATAAATTGACTTGTCATAACAAAATATCTATACAAATTAAATGAGATTAATAACAATGTCCTTCTGACCGGATTTTAGTCACAGCGGCCAGTCTCAAGGAGACTAGACATCTGCACAGTGCAGGGTTATAGTGCACACGACAGCTGCAGTCTCTATATTCCCTTACACTCATAGTTCATAATGACACGGCAATCCAACATGACCGAAGAGAGATCATGTGCAGTACGAACAGCTTCTTGTGCTGTTCTATGCATGGGACAAAATACTGTCCATTTTCTGACTCCGGGATGCAAATAAAAATTATATAATAAGCAGTCGTGACACGACTACTCGACCTACGAGGCAGTTTACTCATTGTTAACTGTACAAGAATAATTGTATAATGAGGTCATTAAAACAAAGGCGTAAGTATATTAAAAACATCTTAGCATGTTTATTTCCAAATCCTAAAAATCTATTTTAACTTCAAATCGACCTTGTTTTAACACACTAAGAAAAACAGGAAATTAAAATTATTATTGTAATTTTAAAACATTTTGTCATGAATCTCAGAATACATAAATTTAAAAATAATGTTTTAACATTGAACATTGACACAAAACTGAGTCATGTCAAGAGGCTTATAATATCGTATTGATAAGGATTGATATAACCTACCTCCATGCGTCAGCCTATTCATCATTAGGTGACTTTAAAAAAATAAATGACACGGTGTAAATTACTAAGCTATGTGGGATCACAGTCAGGCAGCTTAAAATTTACAGAAAAAAATAACAAAATAACGCATTTTCCTAAAAAGTGACATAAAAATTTCCTTACTTATTTTAAATTAGCGTTTAATTGCTTAATTTGGTTCCAACTGAATTTTGTTTTCGCTCGATCGAGCTACATTGCTGCTGCATTCTCTTGTGACAAATAAACAGAAAGGTCGTTAAAGAGAGACAATCTTAAGCAGTAGGAATGTTTTGCTTCAATAACCGCTAATACTATTTACGTAATAACGGCGCCCTTTTATTATCTGTCATCTAAAAGAAGGTTTTGTTAACTTTATAGTTATTGCTTGTTAAAACAAAGGTTGGCACCAAGCCCCGCTCTAAGATTACATGAATATTAACAAATTAATAGTAAATAGAAGTTAGTAAATCCTATAATTATTTTAATTCTAGTAAGAAAAAGACTTATACAGCAGCTATTTAATCCACCAATTGCTTTGAGATAGAAATTTGATACGTTGTAGCTCAGATGGTTAGCGCTCGCTGTAAAGTCAAATTACGCGAGCAACCCGGGTTCGATCCCCGCAGGCACCAATGAAATTCTTAATTGCCATTTTAAGCGCTGATTGACCACGTGCTCGGCAGTGAAGGAAAACATCGTGAGGAAACCTGCATGTCTGAGAAATAAAAATAATATTTCGCACGGGGGCAGCGCAGCGGACACTTCCTTGCCCAAAAATCCTCTCAGAATTGTGAGGAGTCCTGTGCCCAGCAGTGGGGCCTATATAGGCTGTAAATTTAACTTTATTTAATCTCCTTTTATTTAAGCAGATCCATATCATTCCGTTTCATTTCGCCTATGAAACGGGAGATAGGCATGGACATGATACATCTTCCTGATAACAATCAAAGTAATAAAAACTGCGGTTGCCAACCAGCCAGCCAAGCATGGCAACTATGGCCAATGGGGATATCGGACATAGGATATGAGGCAATCTAGTCCTAGGGCTTCCTAGGACTAGATTTTACTTTAGTACTAGTACTAGTGTACTAGATTAGACGTTATCATTGGACTTCAATAGGCTGTAATGAATTAATTAAATAATACATTTGACCCGCGGTAATCCGAGAAACTTTTTGCAAGGCGGTGGCGGATTATCAAATTACATAATAAAAAAATCATGTGATGCACAATGAATACCTAAAGAGTAAATAATGAATGCGTGCAAGACAGTTACCATAGTTACATTCAAACTAAGACAATTTTTGGTTAGCGCAAACTAGTTACAAACTGTTTATCCACGTATTTCGGGAAGAACACCTCCCTCCGTTGCGGATTCATAACGCGACTCGACTGTACCTACATGTTATAGGCATGCCGGATTACTGGGGTGCCGCATTAGACAGGGGTCGGATTATTGGGGGTCTAACCAGTTACACAATTGTAAGCTAATAATCGATTGACGTGATATTTAACTAGAACAACACAATACATACTTGAATGCTGGTATCTGTAACATTATTAAAAGTAGGTTAATAGCGCATACGACGCAATATTGCACA